CAATGCCTGGCTATTTTTTGGTTGCAGTTGTCATTGTTGTTTAGCAGGCCCAGGCTGGGCTGGAACCCACCAGCCTTGGTGTATGTGGCTGGCGCCATACTCACTGAGCTATAGGTGCTGAGCCATAAACTGTTTTTTTCCTTTGTGAAATGTTTGTTCTTATATTTTACAACTTTGTCTAATGGTTTTTTGGTCATTTTGATCCTTTGATTTTGAGTTTCTTATAAATTAAAGACATTAGCCTTTTATTTCTGATATATGTTCTAAATTTTGTTTACTTTCCTTTCTCTTTGGGTTTTAACCATGTGAAAGTCTTTGTTTTAATTTTTCTGATATTGAACTTACCAATTTTTCTTTTAGTAAATTTGGATCTTCAGATATGGAAAACTTTCTTCAACACCCAGATTATAAAGGAATCCCACCTATATTTTCTCCTAGTAAAATGGTTTTCTTTTTTTTAACATTTAGATCTTATTTTAGGCCTATAATCCTAGCATTCTGGTAGTCCAAGGTAGGAGGACTGCTTGAGCTCAGGAGTTTGAGACCAGCCTGAGCAAGAGCTAGACCCTGTCTCTACCAAAAATAGAAAAATTAGCTGGGCGTTGTGGTGGGGACTTGTAGTCCCAGCTACTTGGGAGGCTGAGGTAAGAGGATCACTTGAGCCCAAGAGTTTGAGGTTGCTGTGATCTATGATGCTACAGCACTCTACTGAGGGAAAGTGAGACTCTGTATCAAAAACAAATTTTTAAAAAAAAATAGATTTAGGGGGTACAAGTTGAATTCTGTTACATGTATGTATTGTATAATGGTAGAATCTGGGTTTTTGGTGTACCCACCTTTCTGCCTTTGTCTACCAAGGTATGAACCACCATGCCCAGGCTTCTCTTTTAAAAAATTAATTAATTTTAGAATTAACTTAATAATTAATAATTATTTAATTAATTAAGTTTGGAATTCATTGAGGGTACAAAGAATTAGGTTACACTGATTGCATTTGTTAGATAAAGTCCCTCTTATAATTGTGTCCCACCCGCAAGAGATGTTCCATACACTGTGACCCCCCCATCCTCTTTCCTCCTCCCTCTCCCCACTTGCTCATTCCGCTACCCCCTCCTTGTATTAGCTTGTCTACTGCCTTCATATTAGAATTGAGTACATTGGATTCTTGCTTCTCCATTCTTGTAATACTTTACTAAGAAGAATATGTTCCACCTCCATCCAGGTTAATACAAAAATGTAAAGTCTCCATCTTTTTTAATGGCTGAATAATATACTATGGTATACATATACCACAGCTTGTTAATCCATTCCTGGGTTGGTGGGCATTTAGGCTGTTTCCACATTTTGGTGATTGTAAACTGAGCTGCGATAAACAGTCTAGCACAAATGTGCTTATGATAAAAGGATTTTTTTTTCCTTCTGGGTAATGGAATTGCAGGATCAAATGGGAGGTCTAGTTTGAGTTCTTTGTGTATTCTCCATACTTCCTTCTACAAAGGTTATATTAGGTTTCCACCAGCAGTGTAAAAGTGTCCCCTTCTCTACACATCCATCCCAGCACCTGCAGTTTTGAGATTCTGTGATGTGGGCCATTTGA